GGTTTTATGGTTGGGAAGAGTTCTGCTGAACCCAGTTTGAAGTTGCACTTGTTGCGGCTTGAAATGCAGCCGTTGTATCAAGACGTGAAAATCTGTGATTTGGCGTTGTAAACAGAGCGAGGACAATGTCTAAATTATTCATATATTGTGATTACTCAATTCTTTTCAATGATCTATTGTATTGGTAGCCGTTGCCGTCGCGTTGCCGTCCTAAAATCGTAAGGTCTCTAATGTTGTTTTCACGATACCAAACCACAGCGTTCGCTGAAAACATTCACCCAACATTGTCAATATGAAAAAATGTTTAAAATACGTCTCATTATTTTTGCACGTGATTGTAGAGGTACCCCACGCAGTGGCCATTGTCTGATAACTAATTTTCTGTGTCCAACTTGCCCCAACTCATCCTGAGGGCAAGTGGTCAAAAAAGTAAAGTTACACTACTGGGCACGTTGCTTAGCTGTTAGACCTCCTGTCAAAACGTTAGTCCTCCATACTCGAGTACAAGTCTGATTGCAAACTTAAAGAATTTTAGCAAATCTTCTTTTGGAGCGCCATAGTTCCTCAAGTGGCTGAACAGTTTTAGGAATTGTGCAGTCTTTTCTTACCCTTTTTGTGGTTATCCCGCGCATGCGCAGCTAACCACTATGTAGAAAACCATAAAAAATTTTAGTGTGACAGTTTTTAGTCTGCGCATGTGCGAAATATTATAGTTAATTAAACGCATACGAAAGAGCCGTTAGTTTATGAAATTTTGTAGTTAAAGGCATACGAAAGAGCCGTTGGTTTATGGAATTGTGTAGTTAAAGGCAGTCGTTGGTGCAAATTAATCAAGTTCTAATTGCTTAGTTATGAAATTAATCAAGTTCTACTACTAAATTGCTTGTTCTCAGAGTAACCAAGTTCCTTGCTATATTTGCCAAATGAATCAAGTTCTAATTAACGGCAAATTGGCGATCCATAACAATAACACCGTCCACCCCATTGATACCCATATGAACATCTTCTGCCGAACTGATTCGCAGCTTTTGCACGCGCATCTCTGTGACGCCAATTATTGTGCCAACAGTTACGTGCGCATTTGAAGCGTGGCGCACGTTTACATCTTGGTGGTCCATAGCAGTAGCACCGCCCTCCAAACCAACCGCCCTCCTTCTATGAACATCTATTGTGGTACATTGCATGCTTTCTCGCTTCCCGATCACGTTTTCTCCAGTTATTTCTCCAGCAGTTTCTTGGACAGCCACCAATGGCTTCGTGAATTGCTACCATCAGTAATATCATCACCAACACTTTGGAAACCATCGCGAACTTCAGCTATACACAGAAAAAAGACCATTTGCTTTCAATGTTTTTTTTTGTCGTGGGATTTGAGCAATACACAAAGTAAATCATGACTGTTGAGGAGCTTGTTTAAATTTTGTACAAAATCGTGCTGATTTATAAAATCTTTTTTAAAAGTTCATTTTGTTAACCCAATAATTTTTGAAAGCCTTTAAATGATAGCTGATTACGTACTGTATTCATACGTACTGTATATGTAACAAAGCTGTAACAATAATTTGACAATAATTTTACCTCATCTGCTACCTGTTTTTAGCAAACGCACAGAAAACTCAAACATTTGCTAACACATACCTCTTGCTTACTTCAATTCTTCTTGCTTATTCTTGCGACTTTACTGCAGCTTGTCTTTGTGACTGACTTGACTGACTTGTGCCCATCGAAAATCGTTCTTTTATGCACTCGTTGAAGCCGAAAAAGGGAACTTTTCGTAAATAAAACATTTTATTCATTACTTTGTTATAGTCTTCTAAAGTGCTTTGGGATTTCCGTTTTTCACGTATTGGCAAAGAAATTCGAAGTAGTGCTCTGATGAGTTTAAGTGGTAGAGGATCAACTTCGCTTTGGCGTTGTTAGGATCCCCTGTTAAGATCCCCCCTCATTGATCTCAAAACCTAAACTGGATAATGCATGAATAAAGGTTTTGGTGTCGCCATCATCAATCTATTTTGATGTTACTGACATTTTCGAAGAGGTTCTGACGTTACATTATCATTCGGCTAGTCCCTCTGCATTGGGCATTGGGGCTTTTGCGTGACCGATTACATCAAATATTACGCTTATAGCCTAGAGTATTTATATTTACAACAATAGACCTCTCCCCTTTTGAGTGAAATTTTGATCTAGACAAGTCTGGACAAAAATTTCATCACAGCTTGAAAGAGCATCACAAAAATAGTAATATTCCGAGGTTTCGTTGCGAAATGTTGTAAAATGCGGATAATATAGTCTAGCGAAGTTTGCCGTTTTTCAGTCATTTTGTATTACAAATGGAAATTGGTAATCAGCCTGATCATCTGATTACCAATTTCCCGTTTGCCTTCGCCTCAGGCTGTAAACCTCGACACAAAGAGCGGCTGGGGAACCAATTACTGCAGCCTCAAAGCGTCACACGCTCTAATGCCCATTACGTTAGGACTGAAGTGCGTACGGAAATCTCGAATTGTCTTTTTGATATTCAAATGAGATAATCTTTGGCTCGTTTCCCCTAACCAACCGACGACAATCATGTTTATGAGCAAATCGACAGAGCAAAATCACTTGAACTGCAGTTTTGCATATTGCCACTGTATATTATGTAAAAAGTAAAAACAACCTCTAACAAGTTCAACATTTTACAAAATTCCATTAGGCATTACAGACTTTTCCGATAAATTGTAGTATTATTTACTAATTTTTTCAACGTATACCAGTGTGTTTTAAACGCTTTCTTTTATCAATATTGACTATTGTTGCTATTTGCACCATATTGTGTAAATAAAATTCTAATCTACAACAATCAGATATTGTTATTGTACAGATTTGTTGAACTTCGCGTATTAACGAGCACAAAATTTACTCGGTCATCGCAAAATATTGTGATTTGCCGGTGGCTCACAGATAAATTATTTGCCTTTACCTTCGGCTTCGATTAGGCTTACATAGTCATAGAGCATTTTCAACCGCGCCGGGATTGAACTCAGCCCTGTTGACCGGGTTGAAATTTCAGCCTGTCTTCTGTAATACAAAACCCTATCAGAATCAAATTTTCAACCGAGGATAGAGTTCAACCCCGTGGATGAAATTTCAACCATGCTTCTGCTAGCAGGGTTGAAATTTCAACCCTGGGTTGAACTCGGCCCTGGGTTGAAAATTTTGTCATTTAATCGTTTCAACACAACACCGCGGAAAAACGTCTGCGCATGCGCGTGTACCAGAATTCATGGCGAAGAATTGTAACTGTATGCATGTCCATTGCGCTCACTGAGCTATAATATTACAGCTCATACGGTAATATTATATATAGCTCAGTGATTGCGCCCTAAGGTGTTGTACTTTATTATTCTGTTCTGTGTAAGAATTGAATTGATTGTATTTTCGTATTATATTATCATGGGCTTGGAAATATTGAAACGTGCATTGCCATGTTAATGTTTTGATGTGCCTCCGTGCACGTTTCAATATTTCCAAGCCCATGATAATACGTTCTAGTCACAAAAAGTATGAA